CACACACCAATCATACAACTCAAACATCATGTTATCAACAATGTAATGCAATGAGACTGACTCAAACTCAATACATGTGGTACCAATATCGCTCCCGAATCCATACCATCTAGGACCAGAGCAACTAATATTGTGAAAATTTTGCTTCACATTGCTCCCGATCCACTCCATCTAGGACCAGAGCCAACCAACATCATGAACAATGAGGTTCACCTTGCTCCCGATCAATTCCATATAGGATCAGAGCCAACGAACAAGACTAAAATCCACAACATGAAAATGTATGCGACACTATCATGCAACAAATTACCGCACATTGATATCCACATCCATCAACGTGACACGCCATTAAGGAAATCAACTAACCATACACACAACATACAAATCATACAATCCCAAAAACAATACACAACATTATCACACATAATTCCATGCACATATCTCAGCATAACAGACAAAATGCATACAGAAGAGAATAATCCCCCAAAAAATAATCACCTACTGGGTTCGGATGTATTTTTATAAGATAAAAAATATTTTTAGCTTTCTGTAGGTTCAAACGGTGTGTCAAATGGACACCCGAGTCAAAAGTTATGGATCTTTAAAGTTTCAAAATAATTATGTCCTTGCCTGCTCGCCTGAGGCTCGCCCGACGACTGGGTTTGTCGCCTGAGGTTTGCCTCACGAAGCATAGGTGAGGCTTCCCCTCCCATATATTTTTCCAGGAGCACCAAAATTCTCCCATTTCCTTCGCCCGCTCCCTCGTCCTGCGAGGCTTGAGTGAGGGCTCTCGCCCGACGGCGCAAGAGGCTCGCCTGGTGAAGCGTGCCCGATAACAACATTGCTGTTGTGATTTCTACACAGAACCAATCCCAATTTCCATGTGATTCCAATACCAGTCCATTACAAAACTCACATAATTTAACACATATCCATTATACAATAATTGCACATCAATATACATGTTATGGGTATGAATTCATGGCATTATAACATCAAAATTCCTCGAATTAGTCATAGATTCATCATATTATCACATTCCACGAAAACTCCAAATTGAATCAAAACATGAACACACAACAACCATGACAATCATAACCCTGCCATACCCATCACTATACAATACCCTTAGAGATTCAGAACCCCACCCTTACCTTAGATTGAAAATTCTCAAGCTCTTACATTGGATCCTCCTTGCCCTAACTTTCTCACTTCTACGTGTCCACTTCTCTCAGAGTATGACCGTTCTAAATAATACGATTCACTCTCTATTATTCTTTTTTACTAGAATAACCCTTAGAAACCTAACACGATCTTCCATTCTTACCCCCCACTAAACCTCAAGCAATGACCATTTTGTCCTCACTATTTCTACTCCTATTATTCAATTTAATTATTAAATAAATTCAAGCAATTATTCTAAAATCCCAATAATTCCAACCAAATTATTAACTTTAAAATAAGTCTCATTACTACTTTAATCCGACACTACTCCACATATGAAATCATCAAACCATCTATTTCACCAAATAAATCACAAACAACCAACCAAATAATAAATTTAATATTCGGGGTCTTACTGGAAATGCGATAAAACTCATCAACACCAAGAGCAAATATGATAATATTTTTCGCTTTCCAATCATGTGCCAAATTCTTATCATCATCATCATTCCATAAGTATTCTGACTTTGGTACGGTAGCATCATCAACAATATATGTCACCGGTGTTGGACTATTTTGAATGGCTTCCCAAACACATTTGTCATATGAGTTGACATAAATTTGCATACAAGCTTTCCAATAACTATAATTTTCTCCCGTGAAAATTAGAGCTCTTTTATAATCTCCTTTAGGTTCGTACGCCATTTTCTAGTAAGTTTCAAAGCCGGAATAAATCGAGCTCTTGATGCCACTTGTTAGACGAAAACGCCTTGTCTAGAGGGGAGGGGGGATGAATAGACCACCAAGCCAAACTTTAAGATAAAAACATGGTTTTAAAAACTTGTTTTAGAAAAGAGTGCAAGCGGAAGGTTTTTAAAATGTATCGTCTATACGAACCGTTGTTATTGGAACTCAGATATGCAAATATAAAATTGAGTATGGAATGAATACAATAATCTGAATTAATTGAACTTCAATCAAGTAACACATTATCAATCATTTATAGCAAGTTACTAGTAATTCTATTTCCAATGGCAATTACCAAACGAACTAATAAATAATTTGTCGAACACTTGGTGTGTAATTGAATTTTTAGAATTTTCCTTTGAGTTGTATTGATACAAAAATCACTTATAATCAAAAGTCATTATAAGCAATATCAACACTTAATTCAAAATAAAAAACAGTTTGGAATAATTCTAACGAGTCAATCGATTATGCAATGCTATTAGACAAATTGATTGATGAATATACAACAAGTAAAACAATACGAAAAAGAGATACGAGGATTTGTCTTCACAGTTCCCCACTTTCGTCCTTGCGTGTGGGTACGTCTGTACCTAATTCCAATGGAATTAGGATAATTCTTACTATGCAAAAAGTTTGATACAAGAGAAGTGTTCCAAGAGAAACTCCACAACCCCTAACGTTTGTTGTTAATTCAACCCCTTATCTTCCTTTGATCTTGATAAAGAACCAGACACAATAGATGTCAATTAGTTATCTAGATTTTACTACTCCTTTGCGTACTTTATCTCTAAAGCTTTTGTGTACCACCAATTTAAACTATTGCAACACAAGACTTCAATTTGATTCACCATTCTCTCGCTACTTCCTTTGCGTTCTTTATCTCCAAAGGATCCTTTTTTTAATGTCTTACATGTAAACCCCAAATCACTCAATGATCTTGGAGGACAAATCTGCGATTTTTCTAGATGAAGACCCCTACAAATATCAACCCAATATTCTTGGCTACACAAGAACCTAATTGGACATTATCGAACCTCGTCTAGTTGGTATCCCAACAAAAGATCATTATAATGGTTTGTTAGTGTGTATGCATAGGTTGGAGGTTGTAGATGAAGAGCAAATGCATGATGTTTTTATGGTATCATCAAGTTGGAATGATGCATTAATGATGTATTTATAGTTTTGGAAGTCTAGGGCAAAAAGGAGATTTTTCAGAATTAAAAATATTTGAAAAATTGACCAAAATAATCAGTATGTGTCGATGCATACGTTAAGTTTAAGCTATATGTGTCGACCTGAACGGATGAATGTATCGACCGAACCAAGTCAGAAGCTACATGCTTGAAAACAACAATAAATGTATCGACCTGAAATTCGTATGTGTCGAAACTTAAAATAAATTTTTCTACAATTTTAGAAAAGCTTCAGTATGTGCTGACCTATATAATGCATGTGTCGACCTGAGCCTTCCAGAGGCTACAAGCTTCAAAACCGAGTTGCATGTGTCAACTTGAAATTCCTATGTGTCGACACATGCAATAAAAATTTATGCAAAAACTTGTTTTTCAAGACTAAGATCAATTTCAAAGTGATTTTTAATGATTCGTAAGACCCATAATGCAAAGGAGTGCCACAAGATATAGAGATACCTTCCAATATACAGAAATGCTAACTTTTTTTTAGTTTTGACATCATGCAAAATATCTAATGACGAAGTTCTACTCACGTATTTTAGGAAGCAATAAGATATTCATAGTCGAGAAAGATACACATAAAATAACCTTCATACTTTCAGGTGAGTTAGGGATCTACAAGTGGATGGTGATGCCATTCATATCAAAGAATGCATAAGCCATCTGCAAGAGATTAATGAAGACCATCTTTCATGACCTCATTGGTAAGAATGTGTGTTGCTTTGACTTGTGATTGTATGTCCTCTTTTGGGGGTTGCAATTCTTCCACGATGGTTTAAATTGCATGAAAAGTCTCACTATCCTCATATGAGTGTCATGCTCATGCCATTTTGAACTAATGTATAAAGTATGGTTGAAAAATTGCATTTATCGCGACTCCACGGTGACCATCAAATGCTTTTGCGAAATATATGATAAGTTTTTCTATTAAAGCGTTATGACCAAAAACCTATATTTTTTGGTAATATTTGACCAAAAATGTTTTATAGTGATTGAATATTTTATGTGTATTACCTAATAACACTTCAACTCGGTCCTGTTAAACCAATTCAATTAGGAATTATGTAAAAATATCAAATGTAAATGTAAGAGTTTGAATCCACCATATTCCATTTAGTCATCTTTAAAAAGGTAAATTCTTAACCATTAAATTATTTGATAAAAAAATAACGCCTCAATGTTGCTTTGTAATTTTGTGTTCATTATTTATTTGGCAAATATATTAGTTATTGTTTTCATTTGATTTGATTGGTGTCCAATTGAATTCTTTAAAAAGAAATAAATAATCACATCTTTGATAATAAGGGGTTATCGCAACTAAAATTGCTTCCTAACAAATCAAGTAATTGGACTTTAATGGAAAAAAAGTTTCCACTAAAGACGAATCTTTCAGATACTATCTAAATTTGATTTTTGTTAGAAACAAAATTTGACTAGTGAATCATTCTTCTAAACTATAAAATCAGATTAATCGATTTATTATTTGAATCAAAACTGATTAACTAAATAAAAAAAATTACTTAATAACAATATTTGTTTGATGGTCGCTAATGGAAAAGAAACAATGACCTCTTGTATTATAAACTTTTTTTATTACAATTTGAATCGCATTTTGAACTTAAAATATTTTTAAAATGTTTATAACTTCAAAATTTATTATAGGGAAGACTAATTTGGTAGTTTATTAAAAGAAATAAAAAAATAAAGAAAAGAACTTATTTTTCTTTATAAAAAAAACAAACTGATTATTTAGGTTTCCTTTTATTATACAATGACGAATAAAAAACCAGTATATAGCAAAGAAATTAGAAAACACACTCCAAACCCTTAAACAGTTAAACCCTAAAACCTCTTCATTTCCAATAACTCACTTTCTCCGTCGCCGCTGCAACCATGACGGAGCTGAAGCTATCCGAAACCCGCGACCTGACGCGCATAGAGCGCGTGGGAGCTCACTCTCACATCCGCGGCCTTGGTCTCGACTCCTCATTACAGCCACGCGATGTCTCCGAAGGTATGGTCGGCCAGATCAACGCCCGGAAAAGCGCCGGCATCATTCTTCAAATGATAAAGGACGGAATAATCGCCGGACGCGCTGTTCTTCTCGCCGGACAACCCGGAACCGGCAAAACCGCCATCGCCATGGGGATGGCGAAGTCTCTTGGCCTCGAAACGCCGTTTGCTATGATCGCCGGAAGCGAGCTCTTCTCGCTCGAGATGTCGAAGACTGAAGCCCTAACACAAGCCTTCCGTAAAGCTATCGGTGTTCGTATCAAGGAAGAAACGGAGGTGATTGAAGGTGAGGTTGTTGAGGTTCAGATTGATCGTCCGGCGGTTTCTGGTGCGGCTGCGAAGACAGGGAAGTTGACACTGAAGTCGACGGAGATGGAAACTGTCTACGACCTTGGCGCGAAGATGATTGAGGCCATTGGGAAGGAGAAGGTGACGAGCGGTGATGTCATTGCCATTGATAAGGCATCAGGGAAGATTACCAAGCTTGGTAGATCGTTCTCGAGGTCGAGGGATTTTGATGCTATGGGACCGCAGGTGAAGTTTGTGCAGTGTCCTGATGGAGAGTTGCAGAAGAGGAAGGAGGTTGTTCATTGTGTTACTCTTCATGAGATTGACGTTATTAATAGCAGGTTATTAACCTTTTTATTTTTGCTTTCATGTTTAGTTGATTATTTCATTAGAAGCTTTGCTAATTATTTTGGGGGTAAATGGTCTATGAAGCACGGACACCTGAAATACACCGGTAATAATTTACAAAATCGAATAAATTAAATGTAATCACAAGTGTCAATGTCGATTTCAGACACAAACTCGTGGACAGTTTTTTTAGAGGTGTAAGGTGTTGGTGCTACATTGTAAATTATTGGGTTACCACGGTTTATTGTCTAATAGTATCTCTTAACTATGATATTGTTCAACTATTTGACTATAGTTTATAATGTAGATTTTCCTTATTAGAGCTTTTATGAATATTCAAAAAGCTAATAGGTTAATCAATGTACTCCTTAGAGATATCACTTTAAAATTGGTGGATAGATCTATGCTATTTTTTATTTTTATGATTACATGACTGATTTTCTCCTAGAGCTGTGTCAAAATGTTCTTGAGTTTGGTGTGTACAAGGATCGGTGTTTTCAAATAGTGGCGCCATGGCTGCTATGGCTGTTATACACAGAGTTGTTAATCCCGGATAGCGGAGCGGAGCGGCCGACTCCCGGGAATGGGAAAAGCGGGAATAGCGGGATTCCGGATAGCGGGACAACTTTTTGTATACTAATAATTATATAATAATCTATAAAACATATGTTATAAAACATATGTCATGCAATACTAAATTAATTCCACACCACTCATAAAATACTTATAAAATCTAATGTCAAACAAAGAACAATGCTTAATCAAGACTCAAAACATAAAGATTCAAAACATAAAGGTTCAAATGTCAAACAAAGAACAATGCTTAATCAAGACTCAAAACATAAAGATTCAAACATAGAAATCATATAGCATCATCAAAAAATTCCTCTTCCTCTTCATCTTCTTCTTCAATATATTCCTCCATTTCTTCATCTTCATCTTCAACTTCTTCAAAATCTTCCTCCAATTCTTCATCTTCAACTTCTTCAACATCTTCCATCACTTGTTGTTCCATTGGTGCTCTAGTTGCCATTGTTGCTCTTGTTGCAATTGTTGCTCTTGGTGCCGTTGTTGCTTGAGAAGTACTTCCAACTTCATTTTGCCTTGTTGTCCTCCTAGTGTAGATTATAGGCTCATTAGCCCCACTAGCATCGGCAACTTGACTCCAAGTTAAATCATCATTTGGATGAACCAAGTCTTCACCATCATCTCCTACCTTTTCCATCTCTCCCACCAACCATTCGGTGTGGAAATTAATTTCATTAAATTCCATAGGATCAATTTTATCCCGAATTTCAAACCTCTCTACCAAAGCTTGATTATACTTGATAAACACCAAGTCTTGCAATCTTTGATGTTCCAATTTATTTCTCTTCTTAGAATGAATCTAAAATACAATAATTTGAAGTATTAATTTAATAATACTTGCATGTAAGATATTTTAAAATCCTAGTAAAAAATTAATACTCACATGCTCAAAGATGCTCCAATTACGCTCACATCCGGAAGCACTGCAACTCAAACTCAACACTTTAACAGCCAACAATTGCAACTCCGGAGTTTCGGCTCCATAAGACTTCCACCACTCGGCTGCAAGTAATTGTAAAAACTCATTCCATATACATAACACAAAGTGTATCACATGTAATTTAGCAAAAAATTATTTCATCTTACCTGGAGCTAATGTCGACCTTTGTCTAATTCCCGCTCTTATACCAAAGAGACCTGTAGCACCCCTGTATTGTGATAATTGTTCTGAAATCAAATCTTCCACTGCATAACTTTCACTAAGTGTCTCAATGCACTTACGGAGGCCTCTCACCAATCTACCATTATTCTCAATTTCTGGTTTAGAATAATAATATTCAGGATTGAGATAGTGACCTGCAGAATGTAGCGGATGATGAAGTTGACACTCCCATCTTTTATCAATGATTGCAAATACGGCTTCGTACTTGCTTGAATTTGAACTAAAAGCTTTCTCAATTGATTCCTTCGCTACCCCCATTGCGGCATATATGTATCCCAATGGTTTCCTTTCGTTATCAACCATTCTTAGCACATCTACAAGAGGCGCCATGCACTTAAGAGTGTAAAGAACATCATTCCAAAATGATATCGTAAGTATAGTAGTAGCTGCCCTTTGTCCTTTAGCATCTTTGGCACACTTGGAACTCGTCCATTCTTCACAAAGGAACATCTCCCTAAGCTTTCCTTTTAGTTCTTGCATCCTTTGTAGACAAAGGAAATGGGTAGCAAACCTTGTCACTCCTTGTTTAACCAATTCAACATTACCCGTAGTCTTTCTCATTAGATTCAAAGCAAAAGTATGATTATAAATGTAGCCCACAACCTTAACCCCTTTTTGTATAACCTTTTGAACCTTTGGAATTTTGCCTATGTCTTCTAACATAAGGTCTATACAATGGGCAGCACATGGAGTCCAAAACATGTGAGGCCTCCTCAAACACAATTCTTTACCCGCCGCTACATAATTACTTCCATTGTCCGTAATCAATTGAACAACATTTTTTTCACCCATTTCCTCAATAAAAGTGTCCAACAACTCGGCTAGCTTTTCCCCCGTCTTGGCATAGTTAGAAGCATCAACACTTTTCACAAACATGGTCCCCGTCGGACAATTGACCAAGAAATTAATCAATGTTCTACCTTTTCTATCCGTCCAACCATCCGACATAATTGAACATCCATATTTATTCCTTTGCACCTCTTGGTTTTTCAACAATCATTTTGTATATTCCAACTCATTTCGGAGGATTGGAACCCTGAGTTCATGATAACTTGGCGGTTTCAAATGAGGACCATAACTTCCAACCGCTTCCAACATCAACTTAAAAGCTCTTGCATTTGCTACGTTAAAAGCAACTCCACACGTATAAAAAAAGCGACCAATATATTGGATGGTTCTTGCCCTTGCTTCTTTATCACACGCATCATTGATGCTTGTGTCCTTACTCTTCTTATATACCAAATCCAACGGTCCCTTAGCCCTCTTGATAGCCATTGAAGAGGTCTCATCACTCGCAACCATCCTCTTTCCGGTTTGAATTCTACGTATTTCCTCAATATTAATGGTATCATCCACATCTAATTGCACCGAAACCTCTTGTATTCCTTTCTTAATTCTCTCCTTCTCAACCATGTCCGCGCGTAATATAGCCTTAACATCCTCGGGTGTTTTCGTGCAAGAAACTACATCACCGGTAATTGCTAATTGATGTCTTTTGGCTCTACTTATTCCCCCATTGCTAGTTAAATTACAAAAATCACATGTCACCTTCTTGTTATTCAAATCCTTCAAATGATTGTATTTCCATCCTATGTCCTTACTATTGGTTGGTTTGAACGTTGGAGCACATGAAGCAACCGACGCAGAATTGGGTGTCGACGAAGAAGCTGTCATATTTACCTGAAGCCTGGAACGGTGGAAGTGTTGTTTGCTGGAACTGGAATGGTGGAAGTGCTGTTTGCTGGAACTGGAACGGTGGAAGTGCTGTTTGCTGAAACTGGAATGGTGGAAGTGCTGTTTGCTGGAACAGTGGAACGGTGGAGAAAAAAGGGCACAAAACTGGAACAATAAGAGTGGAACAGTGGAACTCTGCAGTTGTATGTTGCTGCCTTGCTGGAACTGAAACGGTGGAAGTCGAACAGTGGAGAAAAAGGGCACAAAAACTGGAACGGTGGAAGTTGAAGAGTGGAAAAGAAGCGCACAAAAACTGGAACGGTGGAAGTTGAAGAGTGGAAAAGAAGCACACAAAAATTAGGGCAGAAGAAGAAAGTGAGAAACTGTAACGCAGGAAAGAAAATACAAAAGCAAATCTGTTTTAAAAGTATTTTAAATGAGGGGTAAAATAGTAATTTTGGCCAAAAAAAAAACCCAGCCCGAACCGCTCCGCCCGGGGAGCGCCCGCTATCCGCGACCCGGGATAGCGGCGATAGCGCCCGCTATCTTCTCTCCGCTACCGCACCCTTGTGCGCGCGCGGCATGGCTCCGCTCCGACCGCTATTAACAACTCTGGTTATACATGGTGGTTTTTGGGCTTGCTGAAATGGAAAATATTGGCCGACATTACGGGGTTTTCTGCCATAATCTCTACTATAATGGCATTGCAAAGCGACCGGCATGGTGGGATTTTGGCTCTCTGCCTTGGACTGCCATCCACCATCAACAACACTGGCAAGGATTTACATCCCTATAGATGCTTTTTCATGTGCATGGTGAAAAAGTGGAATTTCTTTAGCTTTAGCAAGTTAGGCTTGTGGTATATTTTTGTGGGGTGATTATTTTGGATCCCACTGACCCTTTGTTGTTGGGAATGAGAAAAGCTAGTGCACTTATTTTTTAGATTTGTGTTTAGCAAAATTGACTTTGAATCATTGAAAGCTTGGATACATTAATGTTGTGTGCTTTGCAGTTAGTAATTTCATGAAGTGCCCATGTTAAATCACTCTAAATAAATATGAAGCTTTGTATTAAATTTTCCTTGATGGTTTTACATTATTTTGTTGTTTATCTCCTTCAACAAGGATGCTCACTTTTAAGGCTTATAAATTGTCTAAATGGTTGCTTCTTTGTTCTCACCATCGACTAATTCTCTTGTTTTAATTTCAGAACGCAGGGATTTCTGGCTCTTTTCACCGGTGATACAGGTGAAATTCGTGCAGAAGTCAGGGAACAAATTGACACCAAAGTGGCAGAATGGAAAGAAGAAGGAAAGGCAGAGATTGTGCCTGGTGTCCTTTTCATTGATGAGATACACATGCTTGATATAGAGTGCTTTTCATTTCTAAATCGGGCTCTGGAGAACGAGATGTCTCCCATATTAATTGTTGCTACCAACAGAGGCTTCACAACTATTCGCGGCACGAATAACAAATCTGCACATGGGATTCCAGTTGATCTACTTGATCGCCTTCTCATCATCAAAACTGATCCTTATACCGAGGATGAAATTCACAAGATTCTGGATATCAGATGCCAAGAGGAAGACGTAGACATGAGTGAAGGTGCAAAACATTTGTTAACCAAAATAGGTGTAGAAACATCCCTGCGATATGCCATTAATCTAATCACAGCAGCTGCTTTGGCGTGTCAAAAGCGAAAGGGAAAGACCGTGGAATTGGAAGACATAAATCGGGTTTACAATTTGTTTTTGGATGTCAAAAGATCGACACAGTACTTGATGGAATATCAAAGTCAATACATGTTCAGTGAAACAGGTGAAGTTGATGAAGATGATGCCAATGCTATGGTCCTCTGAAATTCACGCCCATCAGTTCGAGCCTTTGTAATTATTTGAGCAGTCACTATTTATGTACTTCATGCCAATGCCGGGTCAATGAACTTCATTTGTATTTGATTTTGAGCACCCGTAGTTATTCCAAGGTTGAATTGCAGTATTTACAATGCACGGGAGGCAGTGCTGTGATTTAAATCTACTGAACTTTTCCAAGGCTTTTTTATATTTGTTGTCGTGCACTGTCATGCTCATTTTCATTCACAGGTTATCCATAGAGTAGTTCAAGAATTATTTTTTGGTAGCGAGTTTGCCACATTTGCTCAAATTTTATGACATGTGAGTTGAACCAAGAATTTAAGAAACAATGAGTTTTCTTAAACAAAATTAAAATTTTCACAGTTGAGGTGTGAGATTAGTGTATGGATGGACTAAGAAAATTTGACTTTTTGAATGTATCTTTATATATGGCGAATGAATATTAATGAACACTGGTGTTTTATTTGAACTCCTTTGCACCCATCCCTGAAATTTTTTATCTAAATCAAATGTGTCCTCTAGTTCTTTATGTTTTAGGTTTGTAACTAATTAGTCCTTTGCATTTTTTAAAATATTAAGTTAGTCTTTTATGTGCTTGATTATTTACAATTTTAGCCATTTAGTGAAACTATAATTCCATTTTCTTCATCCTCATTCACTCTTTTGTTGTCCTAGATTAATAACTCTAACTCCAATTTCTTGCAATGCATTGAATTTGTAAAATCAACACTCTAGAGATTTATCTCAAATGGTAGATATGAAGATGAGGGAACATGTCATAAAGGATTAGAGGGATGTATTTGACCTTTGCTTAGAGCTCATTGATAATTCTCTTATGAGTTCATGAAAGTGTTTGATTTCAAATCAACTAAAACATAGATGTATCGATAATACGAGAGATGATTTTAGAATATCAATTATATGTGAGACAAACATTTTAACAGTATGAATTTGGAAGTTGACAATACTTATGATTTAGATATTGTTGAAGCATTCTTAGCAAATGCCTCAAGTTTTGAAATCCTACATCTCAAACTATTCAAAATAATGGACTATGTATTTAAAAGGTACTGATATACACAAGACATTTGGAAACAACCTAAAATAGGAATTAAGGTTTGAAGACAGAAGGGACAATGTTGATTCATATCAACCAATCTTTTCTGTGTTGCTGTCATCCGACGGCCATATTACTGTCTCCATGAGTCTTTCCCTCATCAACTCCAAGTTTTCATCAGATATTTCTTTATATATCTCAGCATGATTACATTTCTGCATCGGCGAAGAAACATCAATGTCTTGACAAATGATTGATTTTACACGCCTTTGAATATATATTAAAGTATGAGAATTTCAAATTTGATTACCTTAACCCATTTACCATAGAGGTGAAGCCGGGTTAACATCACTCTTTCAGCAAGCTCTTGTTGTTCCTGTCAATTGAATGAAAACATATATGGCATCATATAAATCACACAAATTTTAAACTGAGAAGTAAATTTTTCAGTAAAAGTTGTTAGTATATTCATGGAATGACTAGACAAGGTGAAGAATGAAAGAGTACCTTCCCGAGCATTCGGATAAAACGTTTTCCATCAGCTGGTTTGTTTGATACAACAAAACTGGAAACATAGAACAGAACATAAATAACAGTACAATCTAAATAAACACCTTACAATAATATTGTAAAACAAAAATATGTTGTCAAAATTTCAAAAGGTGTCTGTGCAAGGGTGCTTAACAAAAATATGTACTTGAGTAGCGGAAAAAATCACGCATTACCCGTGTAACACAATCAATCTAGCAATTTTGTTTATGCATTTTGATCCTTTTACATTCTACTTTACTTTATTTTATACATTTATTTAGTTTAGTAAGAGTTAAAGAACTCATGGCTCTGAGATAGAATTCTTTCCTCAATGTAACGTAATTGGTTGAAGAAAAAAGAATCACAATTAACAACTATTAGTCTATACGTCTGCAAACTTTTAAGTGCCACAACATAATTGCTCTTTGCATGAGTTTGATAGCTTTTTATTTTATTTTATGTTTAGTTGACATGTTTTTTCCTTTCAATTTGATAAAAAGAGTAGTTCAGATGTAAGGAAGTCAATCAGTTGGAAGGAGAAGAAGATATAGAAATATCATAAGAGAAGTTATTAAGAAAGATTTTGAAATAACGATTTGGATAGAAAAATAATCATTAATCGAATATTATATGACGTAAGTTGATCCATATAGTCAACCTCACACAAACATGTTTCCCTCTTATCTAACCATACACCAGAACATTTGTTGGCCTAAGTGTCAATTGTGTCTCATGTAGATCAGTCAAGAAATTCACTAGTGGAACTAGAGATTTGAAGTTTTACCGTGGAACAAACAACTCTCAAAGCCGTTTCAAATAAAATGGTCAAATATAAGAAAGCGTGTTCCAACAATCAATACGCACTCATACTATTAACTTTTGACACTTCTAATTTTTTAGCACTAAAAGTCATTAATCTTTTACAAAGAGTCCAAAAACTTATGAATAATAATTTTGTTGATGTGTTTTTACTAACAAAATACTATATATTTAATAGTGAAAACGGTTAGTTATTGTGTTAGTTGTTATATTTGATTATAAATATTTATTAGTTAGTTAATTTTTGTTACAAGTTTGGTAAGATTTGTTAAAAGGTCATGATCACTATATAAAATATATTATACATCGGTTGCAAGATATATGTGTGGATTCTGTTTTTATTCATTCTTTAGGATCACAATATATATGCACAACACCAGACCTTCTGTATACAATCGGTTACAAAATCTAATGGTTTTAGGAATTCCAATCACAAAGACGGAGCTATAATCAAGCTAAGACTCCTAAATATAAGGTAACTGCTAGTGATCATAACAACACAATTAACAATAATATCTCAATATCTCAATAATATATCTTATCATTAAATCAATATTTAATAAGTAAATAATTTTGTTATTTTATTTCTCTCTTTCACGGGTTTAACCATATTTTTTGATATGATATTAGAGTTATTGTTGCCGCAATGAAAAAGAGATGATTAAACTTATCACTAAGATAATCTACAATCATTTCCTTTTATTTTCCTATTTTTTTCTTCTCATTTTAATATTATATTCTTTTCTTTTGATCAAATGACATCAACTTTTTATAGACTTTTACTATAATAATTGAGTTCTTTTGATTAAATGATTTATGATATCATATATTTGTTGAAATTTCTCACACACGTAAATTATTTTGATTGTATGATACTTTAACTCTTGTTTAGGACTTTTTTTTTTTTTAATGTTTTTTATTCAATGGTAGTTAACATGTTTTTTTCTTCTATATATAATATTAAGTATCTTTTATTCTTTATGCGCTTCCATCATAATTTAATTTGTTAGTCAAATTGGATATTTGAAGATTTAAAATAGAGTTATTGATTCTATTTGAGTGAGCACCGAGAAGATTTCAAATTGATTTTTTAAAATGGAATGACTAAAACTTAAAAAACTTAAAAATAGAAAAACTAAAAATATATTTAAACATTTAAAGAAAATCTAAAATACTTTTTTAACCAAAGTGATTAGAACTTGTATATCTTTTTGTTATAATCCTTTTTAATGAATTATATTGTATTTTTTTTTCTTTGTAGTATTTTTTTTTCAAGTTGAAAATGTTAATCCATATTTTAATTTGAGGGAGAGTGTTTGTTTAGTTGTTATACTTGGTTATAGCCTATAAGTAGTTAGTTAATTTTATTACAAGTTGGTTAAGATTCATTAGTGCATGAGTACCCTATAAAGTCTATCATGTATAAAACACAATTTACTATTAAATCAATACTAAACAATTAAATCATCCTTTATTTTATATCTATTGGACTCGATCATTCTTCTGAGCAAAAACAAACCGTAAATGCAATTTTGTTTTCATCATTTACTTCCTAACATCTTGGAAACATGATACTCCACGTAGCATAAATAAGGTCGCTTTTTCCAAATTATAGATAAAAATATCATTCACACAAAACAAGTAAACCAAACACAATTTTAACATGTGACTAAATATTGAGTAAAAAAATGCGACTAAATAAAAAACATAATTCCAAAGTTTTGGTTCAAAATATTCTTCCAAGATAAAGAATTCACTTACTTATAAAACCAAGTATATTTAGGTGGATTCATCTCATACAGTTGCTGAAGAACAGTCCTCACAGCTTTGTACGTGAAATAGTTGAGCAGTTGCTGTTTAGAAAGATAAGCTCAGTTAGATTGCTTTCATATATATATAACATAATTCTATGAATTACATACACTTCAAATTTGACTCCAACACTAATACACGACATCAATAATAACTAAAATAAATAAATAAATTAAATATAATCACAAATATTTGTACAGGTGTCTGATTTAGATATAGACACCGACACATATTTTCTGAGGACTTAGCCTTCACGACTAGGCCAACTTGGATTGAGATTGCTATGTAACTATGAAGTATAACTAGAATTATGAATTAAAGAACATTATCATTATTGAATAACATGCTCCAAAGTTTAGATGAAATTACCGTTTTAACATCCTCAAAAGTATCATCATACTGACCACCAAGCTCACTGACAATGGTAACTCTCCTATCATTACTTCTTTGCTTCTTACAGCTTCTGCTAAACTTGAGCTTCCATTCCCTTCCCGGATCAGTAAAAGAACTGCTCAACCCCATACTCCTAACTCCGCCGCGCCTCGCCGAATGCTTCCTCCCCGTCAAATTCTTCCACAAAACCACATCTCCACAACCACTCTTCACATTTGTTGTTGGAAGAGAATCCACACACAAACATGGACCAGTGTGTGAGTCCATCATAGATGAACCAACAACGGATATTGCTCCTACCATCTTCCTCTCTCACAAATCCAAACTATCAAAAACAACAAGAGCTCTTGAAAGTTGAATGAAAAAAATGGTC